CTTCCTTCCCTTCTGCCCTCTCATTTCTGGTCATTGTCGACAAGTGCCTCTTCTGCCTTTCATCTGCCAAGCTTTTCCATTTGACTTGCAAGTTCCTTCCGAGTTGTCTGTGAATTTGGGGTGGGGTGGGGCTATATAGTGACACTAAGGATATTCCATTCTCCCTTGCTTGATTTCTTCTTCTTTGAGGATCACTGCTGACAGTGCTTAAAGGGCTACTTCATGCATGGCGGTGCTTCCAGGTCACTCCTGGTGGTGATTAGGAGGCCATGCAGGTGGGGGATAGAACTCAGGGTTCTCACATGCAGAGAAAGGCCTCTTTGAATCATCTCCCTCACCTTTCCCTGGAGCCTTTCCGTCATTATGCCCCCAGTTAGAGTAAAGACACTGATTTTGTTGTCTTTTCTTGGTGGCACTCCATACCTGGACAAAGCTGGTGGAGAGGGAATAATGGGCATGGCTCTGTGGAACAACTCAAATCCAATCTCATGGACTTCATAATCATAAGAAGTCATGTTTACATGGGCTTGACTTTGGGGAAGGGGGTCACTCTAGGGAGAGATTTGACCTTGAGAGTCCAATGTCTTGAATGGGTGTGGCTGCTGTATTCATTTTTATTCATGTGTAATAAGTTCCCAATCACCTTAGCAGCTCAAAAAGCACACAAGTATTGTGTTAGGTCATCATGCCCATGGGGGTGGGGGGCCCAGGCACAATCTGTCTGGATCCTCTACTTAGGGTCTTCCAGGTTGCAGTGGAGGGGGTCGCTGAGTGGTTTTTTTGTCTGAATCAAGACAGGTAGAAGAGACACTTCTTAGCATGTGTTAGCAAGACAGGCTTCTATAAAGATCATCCCTCAGTCACAGGCTGTGACATCTGCCTCACATATCATTTTCCAGTGAGTGCAGGTCCCACACACCGTCACAAGGGAAGAATTATACGAGGATGTGGCTCATTTGAGGGTCTCCTTAGGGCCTGCCCACCCACAGCCCTCCATGAACAGCGCTTATTCTCCCACATTAGAAACTAAACTCCCCCAGCAAGGGGAAGATGCTCCAGATCCTCAAGGGCCCCACATCTGGTCACACATCTGTCATGACAGGTCCTTCTGTTTTTCAGAGCAGGCGTCCTAGCTGTCCTTCCTTGGTGTCTCCCAACTATTAGAGGCTGCTCGAGCGGGCCCAGTAACGTCTCCATTAGAGATTTTGTTGTTACTGTGTTTGGCATATCGAATACGTCATGGGGAGCTTGCCAGGTTCTGCCGTGCGGGCGAGATACTCTCGGTAGCTTGCCGGGCTCTCTGAGAGGGGCGGAGGAATCGAACTCGGGTCGGCTATGTTGGCTGCGTGCAAGGCAAATGCCCTACCGCTGTGCTATCGCTCCAGCCCATTAGAGGCTAGGCACCCCCAAAATGCTCCACAAAGTCAGAATTTTGACTCAAATTAAGGCTCCTTTATTAGCTGGCCAGTGACTGCTCTCTGAATCCCAGCCTGTGTAAGAGAAGCAGCCCTGGGTGTAAAAAGCAAGGGTTTGGTAAAGGGACAAACCATTTTCTTGGAATTTCACTAAGAAAGCAGGACAATTTGTAGAAGCCAAGCAAATTGGTTAGCTAAACAATCCATTGCTTAATATAGAAACCAAAAATAAAGCAAGCAATAGTTAGACAAGAACCAAGAGCAAAGTAGTCAAACAGTCAATAAAGCAGTCAAACAATCAGTAAAGTAGTCAAAGAGTCAACTGAGTAGTCAATCAATTGATTGATGCAAGGAACTAAACTCAGTTAGCTACGCTCTACACTCACTTATCTACTCCAGTCTACTTTAAAGGGCCAAGTGAACACATACAGCCTGGATGCCAAAGCCAAGAGTAAGGCAGTTTGTTTCTTTCTCAAGGGAACGGGGTCAGTCTTTCATACCAGCATCTGAGCAACACATCAGATGGTGTGTGGATGAATGATAGAGTGGGTGAACTTGTCTTCACAACTGATTGTCGTCTCCATAGACACTCTGGTTTTGAACAGAGCAAAGGTACACCTGCACTCCTCCTCCTTGTAAACTGTCTGGAGGTGGGGGCCAGGGCCAGTAAGCCTTTAATTCTGTGTGTTCAGTTCCCCTACCATGCCTCTGGGACTGAACTGAAACCCCACAAAGAATCACAGGTATGTTAAGAAGCTGTGTGAGTCTTCTGTCTCGTTACGTTTTTGTTCAAAGTGGGATTGACTGAATTATTTCTCTCTCTCTCTCTCTCTCTCTCTCTCTCTCTCTCTCTCTCTCTCTCTCTTGTTTTCAGGCCACACACAGTCACACCCTACCTGCCATATGATCTCTTTGACTCAAATTATTTTTTCTTCTTATTTTGGCTTTTGGATCACACCCAATTGTGCAGGGGCTTACTCCTGGTTCTGAGCTTGGGGATCACTCCTGATAGGGCTGGCGGAATCATGTCTGGTGTCAGGGACTGAACCTGCAGCATGCATTCAAGGCAAATGCCTTCCCCACTGCACTGTCTCTCGGGTCCTTAAAATATTTTTTCTGAGTGAGTTTTTGATAAGATCAAGATAAAATCCCTACACTTGATCTTAGCCAAAAGGCCAAGAAGCAATGTAATCTCACCAACGGCCAAGACCCAGAGACTATAAAATAAAACTCCCGGAAGAGGGTGATACAGTATTTCCTGGAGCTCGACCTCTTATGCTCTAGCCCACTGATGTACCTAAAACAGCACACGTGTTTGGTTTTAACATACTTGTTTGTATTCTTGTATATACAGGCTTAAATGGCCCCAGAATGAAATGCAACAGCCTTCACACACTTCCCTCTTATTGTGGTGGGAAGATGCTCGCTGGTGAGGTGGGTATTTGAATATTCTCTGTAATGAACTATAGTGAACTACTTTATAAAAGTGACCAGTTCCCACCCATGCACACCTTTTCTGCCTTTTTTTGAAAAAAGACTTTCTAGATGACTTGGCTAACAATTGATTTTAATTTTCCTCATACAGAAAGCTATTCTGAAATATTTCAGTTTCCCTTTTACATAATAAAGTTAAACAAATCTTAGAAAAAGTTTTAAGTAAATGAAAACAACTTTCTTCTTAAAAGGAACTTTTCAAAGATATCTAAAGATGATTAAGTTTGAGGAGGAGGTTAGGCTGAATAATATCCTCAAAATATTCAAGGAATAGATGAAAAAGTAGTTAATAGTAATAAAATCATATTCTTAAAACATTGCATTATTTAGATTTTCTTAATAAAAACCTCAGCGTTTTTCTATAATATTTTTCTCCAACTTGTCACCATTGGCATATTAAAAGATAGCACAGCAGTAGGGCATTTGCCTTGCATGCAGCCAACCTGGCAGACCAGAGTTCGATTCCTCCACCCCTCTCAGAGAGCCCAGCAAGCTACCAAGAGTATCTCGCCTGCACAGCAAAAGCCTGGCAAGCTACCTGTGACGTTTTCAATATGCCAAACACAGTAACAACAAGTTTCACGATGGAGACATTACTGGGCCCGCTGGAGCAAATTGATGAACAACGGGAGGACAGTGCTACAGTGCTACTTTATAAAAATAAAATATATAAACATTTTAAAAATTAAAAACAAAGATAAAACCCCTCATTGCCAAGTTTCTAGGAGGAATCTACTAATATGAGAAGCTACTACTGATGCCAAGGAAAAAGGTGTAAGAGCAGTTTTCTAAACTTCAGCGTACTACTTGCCGACAGACTCAGTTCCCTGAAATGTCAAGGCATAATTTGTGGTGGAAAAGACCAAGAGGAATACAAGGGAGTTGTCAGGACAGAGAGCCACATCTGAGAGGCTACCCGGAAGCTGGCAGTTTGGGTCTTAGGTTCAGGCTGACCCATGCTGACAACGCTGTACTCTGGCCTGCTATGTGAAAGTACACACCCCTATCCAGGGACCACAGGGGGAAGTCAGTCAGGATGAAGTGTGAACAGTACTCACTCGGTACCAGGTAGGCCTGCGATCACCTCACTGCCTTCTGGCCGCCTCATGTACCAGCACCTCTCCGCTCCTCCTCTCCCCAGAGGCTTATCTGTGGTCAAGTAAGTTATCTCTCTTACTTTTCATTTTATGATCTGGAAAACGCAAATGATAATAGTATCTAGCACACAGTGTGACTGTTAGGAGAATGTTAACATGGTGCTTAGGGCAGAAGACGTCATATGTAATAAGTGTAATGTTTCTGCTACAAGCAAACGCCTATTTTCAATGTGTTGGGCAAGGGTAGGGAGGCAGCCTTCAATGTCAGGCAGATGGTCAATGATTGTTGCCACCCAATTCAGATTGATGTCCTACCCTCTTCCCATCTTCTTCCCCCAACTATGCCATGTTTGGCCTGTAGCACTTTCCTGTAGACATCCAGTGGCTTGGTCCAGCACTGCCAAGATTTGTTTTAACTGTCTCTTCACTGGTGAGGCCTTTTCTGGCCATACCATAGAAAACAACAAACTTCCTGTCCCCTAACCTGATTTTCCTACTTATCTTGTGTGCCCGTTGCCATTCTATTTATTTTGTGGTTTAGTATCTGCAAATTCCACCAGGACGGGGTAAGTCCAAAGGCTTGCTGCACATAGCTGGGGTATCCTTTCAGTATGCATTGAACAAGTGCAAACAAAAGAGGTTCTTTGAGGAGGAGGAGTTGTAAAAAGACCTCACCGCGAGAGGATGGCACTTGGACTCATCTGTCGGGACAGGTGTGACTTTCACAAAGGAGGGAAAGGCAGGAGAAGGGCTTCGGGAGGAGAGAGAAGCAAGGGGCCCAAGTGCGGCTCCTGGAGCGACTTCCTGGAGGCGCTAGCAACTGCCCCCACCCCCCTCCCCGCCCCGCGCCAGCTGTGCGGGTAGGTGGCAGGTGGGCGGGGCCCGCGAAGGGCGGGCTCTGCGCCCGCTCGGCCCCACCCACTGCGGCCCGGCTCGCCCTTTGGCGGACAGGCCCCGCCCCCGGGGGCGGGGCTAGCGGCGCGCAGGCGCATGGTCACTCGCCCCCGGGAGGGCCCGAGGGGCGCGCGGCGTTGCGCAGTCCCCGTCGCGGTCCGGCCCGGCGGCGGCCACTCGGTCCTCCCGCCACCGCCGGTCCCCGTGGCCCCGCGGGGGCCGCCATGCCGCCGCCGGGCCGGGTCCTGTCGTGGCTCGCTGTGCTTCTGGGCTCCGTCCGCGCCTCGCCCGAGTCCGCGACGCCGAACAACTTGACTCCAGGTGACGGCCGCGCCCCGCGCAGGTGGCCCGGCTCCCCGCCCCCGCCCCTCCCCCCCGCTGCCCACCCGGCCCCGGCCCTCCGGCCTCCCCCCTACACGCACCCCCCCGTTCCTCCTTCCAGGAACCGGCCCTGCTTCCTTCCCCCTCCCCGTGCGCCCGCCCGCGCCCCCCGCGCCCGTCCCTACTCCTGCCCGCCTCCCTACCCCCCTTTCCCGAAGCAGAAAGAGTTTCTATTGAAAGAAATTCAGCCAAGTGGGTTCTGGGGGGGCGCCGAGAGACACAGAGACAGAGACAGAGAGATAGAGACAGATAGAGAGACAAAGACAGAGACAGAGGGACAAAGACAGAGGGACAGAGAGAGACAGAGACAAACACAGAGACAGACACAGAGACAGCAAAGAGACAGGGGGACAGAGAGAGACAGAGAGACAGACAAAAACAGAGACAGACAGACAAAGACAGAGACACACAAAGAGACAGAGACACACAAAGAGAGACACACAAAGAGACAGAGGGACAGAGATACAGACAGAGACAGAGACAAAGACAGAGACAGAGATAAATAGAGGAAGACAGAGACAGAGAGACAGAGGAACAAAGACAGAGAGATAGACAGAGATGGACAAAGAGAGAGAGACAAAGACAGAGAGACAGAGAGAGACAAAGAGGCAGACAGAGAGACAGAGAGAGGGAGAGGAGGGCTGTTTCTCGAGGAACCCTGTGCTCCTGCAGAGGGGAAGCCCATGATTCCCTTTCCCAACTCCATCCTTGCTTCCTTTCCTCCTTCCCAGGCTCCTGCCTTTCTCCCTCCCCTCCTGGCTCTGTCCCTACCCGTTTTCCTCCCATCCTGTTGATCTTTCCTCCCCATCCTTCCTCCTTCCCTCCCTCCCATCCACCATCCTTTGTCCTTCCCTCCCTTTCCCATCCTTTTTTTGTCTTTCTCTCCTTTTCCCACCATCCTTTCTTCCAGAGACTCCTGCAGCCGTCCCCACCTCCTTTCCTTCCTAAATCTTCTCTTTTCTCCCTCCTTCCCTCGCTTCTCTCCTTCCCTCGCTCTCTTCCCTCTCACCCTGCGCCCCTCTCCTCCCTTCCCTCTTACTTTTCTTCCTCTGTTCCTCCCACATCCTTAGCTCAGCCCCCTGCCATCCGATGGGGCTTCCTGGGTGCTCTTGCTTGCAGAGGATCAGCCCTTCTCTGTGCTCCTGGCTTAATTGGCCGGGGTCTTGGGGTGCAGGGGCTCCTGGCAAGGGAGGGGGCATGGGATCGGGGTGGGGCGCCTCACTCAAGTCCCACCCTCTTGTGCAGAGGCGCCGAATGTTCTCCTGATCATCGTGGATGACCTGCGTCCGTCCCTTGGCTGTTACGGGGACAAGTTGATCCGGTCCCCGAACATTGACCAGCTGGCATCCCACAGCCTCCTTTTCCAGAATGCCTTTGCTCAGGTACATCGGGGGACCTTTGAGTGTGGGTCTGTGCCACACGCGCTTGAGCGAGCGGGACAGGGGCCCTGCGAGTGCTCCTGCTGTGTGGTTTGCACGCCGGCATCTCAGGGGAGGGAAACAGTGCCTGGAAAATGGCTTTTGAGGAATGCCGGTTTGCCGCTGCCCAGGAAGCTGGTGCTGTCGCAGGTGCCATCTCCCATCTCCCGGTGGAGAGCGCCCGGGGGCGGCCTGCCCTGTGTTCCTTCCCTTGTGCCGAGCAGAAAGGGATGCTACAGAATGCCAGCCCCGGCTGCCAGCGCGCCTTGGCCAAGTGCCAGCCAGCTGCCTCCTCACCGAAGCCCATTGTGTGCAACGCACTCATTTCCTGCTGGCTTGAGGGGCTAATGCCTTCCCCCCCTGCCCTTTCTTTTCCGGTGAATGGCGGGGAACATCCATAACCTTGGTTGACTCTGATCTATGTGACTCAGCTGCCGAGCTATTAACGAGGACCCATTGGTTGCCTGGTTACCATTTAGCTCTCAGAATCTGTTGTCCTCTGAGGACACTTACCTCTGATTTTCTCCTTCACAGCAAGCAGTGTGTGCTCCAAGCCGCGTGTCCTTTCTCACCGGGAGACGACCTGACACAACCCGCCTCTATGACTTCAGCTCCTACTGGAGGGCGCACGCTGGGAACTTCTCCACGCTCCCCCAGTACTTCAAGGAGAACGGCTATGTGACCATGTCCGTGGGCAAAGTGTTTCACCCCGGTACGACTCGCTGAGCTTTCCCTTGCTCGCACCCTGTTTGGGGATGCTCTCTGCTCAGTGCTCCTTTGCAGAGGGCTCCGGGCAGGGGAGACACCTGCTTAGCCACTGCTCCCTTCAGACAGGGTATGATTCTTGACTTGCCCTCCCCTGCTCCCCGCACAGTGAAAGGGGGGACGGCGTTTTCCCCTTCTGCGGTGGGCCCTTGCACACCTCGCTTCAGAATGTGCAGGGCTTGCCTTAAACCCTGCACCGCCTCCCACCTTTCCTGCTCTCTTTAATGCCCCCAAGAGAATGCTGAATCTCACCTCTCCTTTTTTTGGCACTTGCGGCATTGCAAGATTATTTGAGGGTTTTTTTTTATATTTTTCTTTGCTTTTTGGGTCACACCCGGCGATGCACAGGGGTTACTCCTGGTTCTGTACTCAGGAATTACTCCTGGCGGTGTTCAGGGGACCATACGGGACGCGGGGAATCGAACTCGGGTCGGCCGCATGCAAGGCAAAAGCCCTATCCGCTGTGCTGTTGCTCCAGCCCCCTGCAAGATTATTTGAGAGCAAGTTGCAAAAAAGAGGAAAGTTCTAGAAAAAGACTAGCAGTCATGTGTCATTGTCCCCTCCCTTCTAGGAGAGCAGGGTTTGGATGTCGTCCTCCTGCTCTGGCGAGTGTTTTCAATTGGAGCTCGTCCCATACCTAGAGTTTTCTATCTTCCAGGCAGTGCCAGGGTCACCCAGTCCCATGGGCTGGTTGTTATGTCCCCTGACGGGAGGCAGAGGAAAAGTGATCAGCCTCCAGTTGTGACTCTGCCACCGCCACCACCACAACGCAGCCCTCCTCTCGGAGCCTCAGGCTGCTGTTTCAGGAAACTGGAGTGGTGGCTGCCTAGATCACCACCCCGGGCACTGTCCCGAATCGGGATGTCGAGGGGCTTCTGTGAATGTCAGGAGCGCCTGGCACTCGGGCTGCCAACTTGAGCCTGGCACTATGCTCATTGCTTTGGCTAGCGGGCTCCAGGGCTGCCCTCTGGAAGCCAGTATCCAGTCGAGCAGGAGAGCCTGAGAAAGCAGTGGAGCATTGTGCTCCGTGACCTCCCCTCCTGTGCCTACTGCCTGAGTGTGGGGATAGGGGTTGCGGTGGTTGGTGGACCTGCGGGGGGTGTGGGGAGAAGAGAAATACGGCCGTTATGCTTTCAGAAGTGGAAGTCAAAGCAGGCTTCGGTGGGAGTGTTGGATGTCCCTGTGCTAATGATCAGACCCAGAGATCAGCCACCCAACGCTTAGCCTACGGTCCCTTGTAGAACCATTATCTTCACTTTGTTTGGTTCTGCTGGGGTCGGGGCAGGGGGGCGGGTGGCACACCCTAGGATGCACAGGGCTTATTCCTGTCTCTGTCGTCAGGGATCATCACTCCCGTTATTCAGGGGACCAGATGGGGTACAGGCGACTGAACCCAGGTCATCTGCGTGCCAGGCCAATGCCTTCCCCCACTGGACTGTGGCTCCGGCCCCGGGTCTTTGTTCGAAGACCCCATTCTGTCAGGAAGGACTTACTCAGGGAGGCCAGCGGCTATCCCATTGGGTGTCACTTACTGGGCCAGCTGCTTCGTTAATCCTTTTAAGCAGGGAGCTTAACGTGGTACAGACATTTCAAGGCGGACGCGTACACTGTCTGAGTCATTGCTGTGCACATGCTGACGAGGGGGGCAGAGGCAGGGTATCAGCCCATCCCCCGGCCTTCTGTGTGGTAATCCCTGGTGCTTACTCTGCTCATCCCCCTGCACCTGGCGCCCGTTTCCTCTGCTTGAGATCCCCAGGAAAACTTGCTTTTACCTCTGTGCCCTCGTTCTCAGGCTTTTTACCTCAGATGCCCTCCTGGCGTTTCTGGCAGCCAGCCCTGCCCTCGCAGCCTCTTTAAGCCTCACGGGCTTCTAGAAACCCAAACCAGCCGTCAGCTGCCCCATATCCACTCTGCTCGGGAACCCCCACACAACCAACACTTCTGCTTTCTAGTTCGGAGTTTTATACAGTTTTTTTTCCATTTGTGATTTATTTTAACTGGGGAGATTTTTTTCCTTCTGGGCCACACCCAGCAGTGCTCAGGGCTATCCCTGTCTCTGCTCAGGGGTCGTGCCTGGTTCTGGTCTGGGAATCCTATGCGGTGCCAAAGATGGAAGCAGGATCAGTTGCATGCAAGGCAGGTGCCCTTCCCCCTGTATTCTTTCTGGCCCGATTTCTTTTCTTTCCCTTTTTTTGGTTTTTGTACCATACTTAGCAATGCTCAGAGCTTACTCCTGTGTCTGTGCTCAGGAGTCACTCCTGACTATACTTGGGGGACCATATGTGGTTCTGGGGATCAGACTGTGGTGAGCCACGTGCAAGGTAAGTGGCTTAAATTCTGTACGATATCTCCTATCCTCTAAGAATATTTTTGTGAGGGTTGGGCCCATACCTCGCTGTTTTCAGGGCTTGCTCCTGGCTCTGCATCTAGGGATTTCTGACTGCACTGAGGGGACGATATGTAGTGCTGGGAATCAAATCCGGGTCTGCTTCATGCAGGGCTAGTGCCCGCTCATCTGTGCTATCTCTCTGGTCCTTTCCCTGAGAAACTTTTTTGTGGCCATCCTGGGCATCTAAAATTGGAATATAAACGGAACATTTGCTGATAATGATGTAGTTCTTCATTGTTTGTTCTTTAGTGGCCGTATTTGATTCCATAACCCCATAGAGTGGTGCGACGCACAAACTCAGAAGCCATGGTTTAGACCCTAGGCAATCGCCCCACATTTCACGATCAGGTCTTTTCAAAGATTCTGTAAACTCTTGCTTCCATTTCTGCTTCAGAGTTAGCCTGGACTCGGCGTCCACAGGCATGAGAGCTCAATTATGTAATCCCTGGTCGGCATCGGGCCAGGCCAGGCACTGCCCTTCCCCACCCTGCTGGCCGTCTCCCGAGGGCTCCGTGGAACTAACCTTTTGGTCCCTTGCTCAGCGCCTAGCCAGAGTTGCCAAGTCAGGGACCTGGTGGGGCCTGCCTGGGCCCGGGGTCAGCTGCACGCACAGCATATGCGTTGACCCTGGGACTCTCTCTCCATCCACTCGAATTGGCCTGTAGCTGAAGCTCCTGACTTTATAGATACAGACACTGAGGCCCAAACAGGGAAGATGACGCTTCTCCAGTTATTTCCAAAACCTGAATTCTGGCCAACCGGCGAGATCCTCAGCTCTATCTCACTCATGAAAACTATGCTAAGGAAACGTCGAAAGCAAGAGGAGAGGGGCCCTTTGGGGTGGGACGGTGCTGGAGGTTCAATGGGGGGAGTAATGGAGGTCACACACACAGAGTTATGCCAGGGCCCTGGGTTTCCAGTATTAAAAAACCGTTGGGTATGGTTAGAGGGAGTGCGGCAGGGAGAGCATCATGGGCTCCTTCCTGTTTCATTTGATGATTTCTCTTTTTTTGCCCCCTCCAGGAATATCTTCAAACCATAGTGATGACTCTCCGTATAGCTGGTCAATCCCACCATATCACCCCTCCTCTGAAAAGTACGAGAACACCAAGGTGAGGCTGAGCGGGGAGCCTGTTCTAAAGGGGAGCCTTTTCCTACCTGCCTAGCAAAGTAACCTTCACAGCAGTGAGCTCTGCCCAGGCCTTCTGGCGGCCTCGACAGTGAGGGTTTGGGGGTGGGTTGGTTTCGGGGCTGCATTTGGTAGTGCTCAGAGGTGACTCCTGATTCTGCACTCAGGGATTAGTCCTGGTGGGCTCACGGGACCAGAGAGGAGCCCGGAATCATACCCCAGTTGGCTGTGTGCAAGGCAAACAGATGCCTTACCCGCTCTACTGTCGCTTTGACCTTATACATGAGGTTGCTGAGATTACCCAAAATCCGGTGGTTGGCCTTAAAAGGAAGGGAACAGGCAGATTCTATGTTTTTTTGGGCCATATCTGGCTGTGCCCAGGCCTTCCTCCTGGTTCTATGCTCAGGGATCACTGCTGACAGCAATGTTACATAAGTTCTATTCCTATTTTGAAACAACCCTGAGAAGTAGCTATTATACTCTGATCCTTTCTTATGTTAGGAAACTGTTGATTAACTTTGATCAAACAATTAAATGGCCAGTAGAGAATTCAAATTCTCTTCCTTCTGATTTGGTTTCCATTTTCGTGAAGACTCGTGTTAATTAAGCATGTGTTTGCATGTTGACTGGCAGTTTGCCTCTGTCTTCTTTTTTTAACAAGTGACTTAATTCTTTGCAATTTTTATCAAGGCATTGTGATTTACAGTTCCATAGGCCTTTGCCCATCTTTGGTTCACTTTTTTGGTTTCTTTTTTTTTTCTTTTTGGGTCACACTTGGCGATGCACTGGGGTTACTCCTGGCTCATGCACTCAGGAATTACTCCTGGCAGTGCTCGGGGGACCATATGGGATGCTGGGAATCGAACCTGAGTCAGCCGCATGCAAGGCAAGCGCCCTACCCGCTGTGCTATTGCTCCAGCCCCTCTTTTTTGGTGTTTTTTGTTCTTTTGGGGCCACACCCGGTGTGTCGTGGTTCTGTGCTCAGAGATCACTCCTCGTGGGCTTAGGGAACCATATGGAGTACCGAGTATTGAACCCGGGTCAGCTGTATGCAGAGCAAATGCCCCACCCACTGTATTATTGCTCCAGCCCCCCCGACCCCCGGTTGATTATTTTTGATTGTGGAATCAGAGGCAGATTTCTTTCAGTCATTCCTTTCCTTGAATTAGTTAATGGTCTGGAGACAGAAGAGCAGAAGGAAACTCAGGGCCCCTGCCTCAAAAGGGGAAACGCTTCTCCTCACTCCCACGTCCTCCCTTTGTGGCCTGCCCGCCCCAACGACGGTGAGGGGGAGATTAAACCTCTGTAAGTTGCCTTTTCCGGCTGCCATTACTGTGTCCAAAATGCTGACTGCAGATGTTTTGTTTGGAAAGACATGCAGGGGACCGGATGGAGGGCTCCATGCCAACCTGCTTTGCCCTGTGGATGTGGCCGACGTGCCTGAGGGAACCCTGCCTGACAAACAGAGCACCGAGCAAGCCATCCGCTTGCTGCAGAAGATGAAGACATCGGCCAGTCCTTTCTTCCTGGCTGTTGGGTACCATAAGCCGCACATCCCTTTCAGATACCCCAAGGTGAAGAGCTGCTGGAGGGTCAGATCCCCCACAGTCATGGCCTCTCTGTCCTTGGGGGTAGGGGAGACTCATGGGAAGAGGGTGGTCGCTTCCTGCCCCTCCGGCTGGCATTAGTGCGCTCAGTGCTGAAGGTGGGAAACAGGTTATGGCCAAGTGTTGGGCTTGGGACTTGTCAGGGTCTCATGGGAGAGGCCTGGCTTTATGCCTGCATGTGCCAGGGGCTTTTCTTTGAACTTGTGGGAAATGCTTGGGTGGGTCTGATGGTAAGATCCTCATGAGTACTCAGCTTCCCACGCCTGCAATAAGGCATAGGCCCTGGGGCGCGCTGCCAGAGAAAACCTGAAGGCCTATCCCATTCCCTTTTTTCCCCCCGGGTCCCTTACCTGTTGACCCTTAAACACATGACATTAGATTGCAGTTTGGAATCCCGAGATTCACATACATCCTGAGTCCCCAAATGTGTACCCATTGGAGCACACGGTCTTCTGCTTTGTTTTGCGGAAGGGGTGATTTGAGCCACACACAGCTGTGCTTGGGGATGATGGGGCGTTGTTCAGGGAGCCATATGCAGTCACAAGGCTTGAACCCAGGTCAACTGTGTGCAAGGCGAGGGCTTCCTCTCCTCTCTCTCCAGCTACAGGCAGGCTCTTCCTTTGAAGCTGTTGGCACTTTCCCCTATTCTCCTTTCCCGGGACAAAGACTGCGTCTTGTTCCTCATGGGCAGAGGCCCCAAGTAAGCCTCTGAGTTCTCTGCCCACTGGGAGTCTGGGAGTGTGCAAGGTCGTGGTGGAAGGTTCTGGAATAACTGGCCCCGGGAAGAACCCTGGAAGTGGACACTTTTTTTTTTTTTTTTGCTTTTTGGGTCACACACAGCGATGCACAGGGGTTATTCCTGGTTCATGCACTCAGGAATTATTCCTGGCCCTGCTCGGGGGACCATATGGGATGCTGGGAATCGAACCCAGGTCGGGCCGCATGCAAAGCAAACACCCTACCCGCTGTGCTGTCACTCCAGCCCCCCTGGAAGCGGACACTTGACGAGTGCTCCCAGTGAGCTGCATTTCATGCCTTGACCGGCCTCCTGGGTGCCGGCCCCGGGGGTCTGTTGAAAGCATGATGGCCCCCAGACTTTGCCCCCAACCATTTCCCTTTGCCGGGGCTACTATGCTAACCTTCCGCTGTGGGGCTGCGCCTGCTGAGTTGTGGAACAGGGAGGTGGTTTGGGGATGCATGCTACTGCCCTTTGGGCGCCTTCCTGGTGGTGCTCCGAGGATCATACGGGGTACCGCGGATCGAACCCTGGCTTGATCAAACCGGACAGAGGCCTTGCCCACTGTAGTATCACTCCAGCCCCGGCTGCCATGCCTTTTGAGTGAAGGGCACGCGGGGACAGGAAAACAGAAGCACACTGTGTCCGGCTAGGAGAAGAGCTGTCCCCAAAGCTACTTTGGAGGAACACACAGGTGGCACGATTCACTTCAGTTCAGGGGTGTGGATTACCAGGAACCCGGTGTGCTGCCATGGAGATGCAGCCAGGCCTAGGGACCAGGCATTTCCTCTGCGAGCAGAATCCCAGGCTTCTGCATTTGCTGCACTGTGACATTCCGGTGGCATTGTGTGCTCTTCCCCACCCCCCAGGAATTTCAGAAGTTGTACCCCTTGGACAGCATCACCTTGGCTCCCGACCCTCAGGTCCCGGCCGGCCTCCCACCTGTGGCCTACAACCCCTGGATGGACATCAGGGAGCGAGAGGACGTGCAGGCCTTGAATCTCAGTGTGCCCTATGGCCCGATTCCCGAGCACTTTCAGGTACCAAAGTCACCCCCCGGGGGCCAAGCAGGCCACTTGCCTTAATGTCATTGGTGACTCCACTTCCTATCACCTTGTCTGGGCTGCTGGGCTTGGGGGCGCTCTGCAGGAAATGACAACATGTCACTACTGGGAGGCGTGTCCCTGTGGGTCTGCACTTCCACGGCCTGGTCAACTGGAGACTGGCCCGAAGACTGCTTGTTGGAACTACAGGGGCCTGCCCCCTTGCTGTGGTGGCGCAGGCCGGGCCTGAGACCATGCATTCCTGGGAACCTTGTTAGTACCGGTCCCATGTGCTTGCCTTCACATGTGGCATCTCCTGTGGTCCCCAGTGAGAGGTGGGAGGGTGCTGTTGTCCAGGTGAGAACTGTAAAGGCAGGGAAAGACGGTGATGGTGCAGAGCACATGGGGGCAGGTACCTTGGCTGTGTGCCACTGTCAGGGCTTGTGGATCTCAGCCTCTGGAGCGGATTTGTGTTCTCCACACCATCTGCCTGGCTTTCGTATAGCATCTTACTTCTCTGGCCTGTTTCCCTCTTGTAAAATCAACCCAACCTGAGCAGGGTGCCCTTCCCTCCCGCCCCCCCCTCCCCGCCCCCAGGTCAAACCTGTTTGCTGTGGGGACTGGAGGGAATATAGGAAACATCTGGATGTCAGGTGTCCCTGCCAGTGAGGACACCCCTCCCGGTCTGCCCCCCCCCTTTTTTTTTTGCTTTTTGGGTCACACTGGCAATGCACAGTTGTTATTCCTGGCTCATGCACTCAGGAATTACTCCTGGCGGTGCTTGGGGGACCATATGGGATGCTGGGAATCGAACCCGGTCGGCTACGTGCAAGGCAAACACCCTACCCACTGTGCTATCGCTCCAGCCCCTCGGTCTGCCCCTTTCTACCCCTCTTCTTCACTACCCAGTTGGGACTGCAGAGCTGGTCATGTGACCCAGAGGAGCTCCCGGGTATGCACCAAGCTGGTCCCTGCTAAAGTTCACCTTGAACGTGGGCTCCTCGTCTTGCAGCTTGGGGCTGATGGACAGACCCCATTGCATTTGATGCTCGCACCCCCAGTTCTTTATCCTCTAACTCGGTGTCACAGGAGCCACCCACCTCAGTGACCTGACTTGGACTTTGTCACCTCCCAGGCCCGTCTCACCTTGGTCACCATTTGACCACAGTGTCTCTTGAGGCTTCCTTCCTTCCTGCCCTGTCTCCTGCCCACCTCCCAGGGCTCACAGGGTTCAAACTTCTCCATTCCCTCCTCCGTGGTGCCCTGGGATCCTCGCTCCTTCCCCAAACCACCGCACTTACGTCAGGTTGCTTACTCTTCTCTCTGGTCCTCTAGCATGCTTGAATGTCCTTGCCTTCATTGGATCCCCTGGGCTCTCCTGCCAGCCCATCTGACCACCAGCTCACTTGTTTTGATTTTGGTTTTGGGGAGTCAGACCCAGTAGTAATTGGGGGTCTCCTGGCTTTGTGCTCAGGGGTCATTCCTGGCGGGCTCAGATCACTCTATAAGGTGGTGGGTCTTAAACCCGGGTCGGCGGCGTGGACGGGAAGTGCCTTCCCTGCTGTGCTCTCTCGCTCTTCCTGCCAAGTTCTGCAGTGTAAGAGAGGGACCCCCGCACCCAGCCTCCAACTCTAGCTGCCTGTTTACTTATGCTCTGACCCCTCACCCTTTTTCCCTCTTCCCTCTGCCTGTCTCTCAGGAGATGACCACACTTTCTGTTTCAGAAATAGAGGCTGGCACCAGGCCAAGGGAAGGGAAAACACAGGCTAGACCTGGGTATCCCTCTGGGCAGGGACCTTTGCTGGCTGTGTGTCTCTAGACCAGTCATCTAACCTCTCTGAACCCTGGGCTCCTCGCATGGGAGGGGATCGCAAATAGTGTAATGGCACCCAGATAAATGCTTGGGGAATGAGTTCTCAGCTTGCAACCCCATAGGGGCACTGGGCGCGTGGCACAGAATGAGTTGAGATGGGGTGTGACAGGGTCGTTCCCTGATCCAGCGTGTCTGGGACCCGCACCAGAAGAGGAGATTCAGGAAGGAGGCACACGGAGATGACAGTGAGAGACCGCCCCCTTTTCCCTCACACAGCCTCGGGATCAGAAAATGCACAGCTGGTTTTTGTCTTTTCTTGTGGCACTCTGGGGAGCGAAGCACCGGGCATGCTCTCTCAACTCCTGGGCCCATCGGAGCATGGGAATGGGACCTAACGGAACAAGAAGAGACACCCCCGTCTTCTCTGAGATCTGTACCCCAAAGTGCAAGCAGCCTCATCCACTTAAAACACGTTTTCCTTTTATTGGGGGGGGGTCACACCCGGCGATGCTCAGGGATTACTCCTGGCTCATGCACTCAGGAATTACTCCTGGCCATGCTTGGGGGACCATATGGGATGCTGGGAATTGAACCCGGGTCAGCCGCGTGCAAGGCAAATGCCCTACCCGCTGTGCTATCACTCCAGCCCCCACATTTTCCTTTTGAGGTGATGCTTATACATAGATGATTTTTATTATTTGTTTGGGGGCTGGTCAGGCCTTAATCCTGACTTCTGGCGAAGCTCAGAGGAGTACTCCTGTAGGGTACCTGGATTGACCCTGCATCTGCGGTGGGCAAGGCAGCGGCCTGCCCGGTGAACTGTCACTCCAGCCTGCATATACATATGTTGCTATGACTCTCCAGGCAACGGGAAACCAGTGTCGGGTATTGGTGGATGACCGCGAGGCTCAGATGAACAAGGTATTGGGCATTGAACTCCCACTCACTCTGCTTTTTGTTTCTGAATCTGCAGAAGAAAATTCGCCAGAGCTACTTTGCCTCTGTTTCCTATTTGGACACCCAGGTTGGTCAGCTTCTGAGCACATTGGATCATCTTCAGCTGACCAACCGCACAATCATCGTATTTACCTCAGATCATGGTAAGCGTTTCCTAGCGCGCACTGGGGAGTCTCAATGCGTCTCTACTGTTTTGTGAAACGGGCTTTTTCCTTCACAGACAGGTAGGATTTGGGGCCTCAGCAGTGCCCCGAGGCTGCGCTCGTGGGATGGTTTTTGGATCATGTTGTCAGTCTTGGGGTCTCTCTGGAGCTTGTGGGAGGAGGACTTGTACCACCTGCTGTGCTTTTTGCATTTGGTGGTAACTCATCAGGATCTTCTGTTTGCGTCGGGAGCATTTTCAATCCCCTTTCTCGGGTCAGAGGACGTGTAGTTTGTCTTGGAAAGATTCATAAATCCTGGCAGACTTGGCTGCACCCCATCCACTCGGCCCCTGTCCTTTGAGGCCAAGAGCCTACTCATCTCTTCGAAGGAAGTTTCTTACTCTTTTCCAAAGTGTGGGAACATCTGTGGGAAAGATCAGACTTTTAATCTCAAAAATTCCAAACACACCCAAGAAAAGAGAAAAGTCACTGTTCCTCAGGGCCCTACCTCCTGCTCCCCAGTTATCCCCAAGGTCAGTCTTGCTGGTCTCCCATTCCACTACAGCCCTGAAAATGCAAACCCCCACAGCTTTGTTGTCAAATCATAGTGTTCAGTTTTCTAAATAGAATCTAAAGCATTTGGCTCTTTTGAAGTCCGGCCATCCTACTGTCATACCTGCAAGCAGGAGGATCTGACAGCTCTTTAGTGCCATCAGCTATGATGGGGGACACTTTTAATCATATACCAGTGACTGAGTGTCAGAAGAGAAGAGCCATCAGGGGCTGTAACTTGGGGCTGGAGCTTGCTACCGTGTATGTGACGCCTGGCCGAGGACTGCCTCCGGGCTAGTGAGTGCTCTCTCCCTCCCTTCCTCTCTCCCTCCGTCTCTTCCTCCACCTCTCTTTCTTCCTCCTTCTCTCCCTCCCTCTCTCCTCCCCCCTCCCTCTCTCCCTCCTTCCCCTCTTTCTTCCTCCTTCTCTCTCTCTCTCTCTCCAAGTTCGCTGATTTGTGCTGACGGTGCCCTCTGGCTCCTGGATTCTTCTCTCCATTTAACAGTGTCATCAACAATCCCCCCGGGTCATTTCTCACAGGCCTAACTTTGACCTGCTAAAGGCCTATTTTTTTTCTCTCTGCCTGCAGCTATCGACATTGTTTGTTGTTCCCCTGAGGATCTGACATAAACTCTTGACCCTTTTTTGGTTCCCAGTTTTCCCTTCCAGTGCCAAAAATCTACCACACCCCATGGAGGCAAGGGCCCTTATGGACTCCCTCCTGGCTTGGAGGCAGCCATGGGTGATTACAGATGGCCCTTCTCAAAGGGTCTCCTGGGACCCAGACCTCCCCATAAGTCCGTAGACTTATCTGTGGCAGCCTTTAATGGCTTTAGGTGTTTTGTAACATGAACTACTCTGCATACAATCTGTGTTTAATGGATGCTTTTATACCAGAAAGTGTGCTAAAACTTGAAAAAGAAATTGCCTACTTGAGGTGTTTCTGCTCTTTCATTGGGATTTGTATTCCCTTTTACTGGTCACACCTGGCAGTGCTCAGGGCTTACTCCTTGCCCTGCACTCGGGGATCTCTCCTGCGGAGCATATGTGGTGCTAAAGATAGAACCCCAGGGGCTGAAGTGATAGCACAGCAGATAGGGCATTTGCCTTGTACGCGGGATTCTCAGCATCCCATATGGTCCCCTGAGCACCGCCAGGAGTAATTCCTGAGTGCAAAGCCAGGAGTAACCCCTGAGCATTGCCGGGTGTGACCCAAAAAGCAAAAAAAAGGTAGAACCCCAGTTGGCTGCAGGCAAGGCAAGTGCCTTATCCTCTGTACTATCACTCCAGCCCTCATAAGGGATGCCTTAAATCAGCTAAGGGTTGTTTTCCATCCAGTCACATTTTTTGACTGTGACATGTCCTTAACAATTGGATATGGTAGCCTTGTCTTCTCAAAATCAGAGTGGCTAAGTAATTTAGTGTTGCGGTTCATTTCTTGGTGAGACACACCCTAGCAGGTAGGGCAGTTGCCTTGTACATCCTCTGCACCCTACATGGTCCCCTGAGCCTGCTAGGAGTGATTCCTGAGTGCAGAGCCAGAAGTAAGCCCTGAGCACTGTTGGAGGTGGCCCCCAAACCGAACCAAACTGAAAAAAAAGGTTAATTATGAGTCATAGGACTTAAGTTGGAGGAGGTCGATAGGCTACCATTATTGGGGTCCCCGCACAGTCCCGAGTGCGTCCATCTTAGCAGGGAGAGAGGGGATTCTGTGTGGAGCCACCAATCTCTACAGCCCAACCTGGCTCTGTTAGTGTTAGTTGCTCATCATAAGAATTTTACTTTACAAAATAGGAGATTAATACCCAAGAGTAGCCGAGATCAGTACTAGGAGGATTACTCCATAGCTTAGAGGCCAGCCAGGCATTCTAGGGGAAAGGGCAGCTCAGATAGAGAAGGGAGCACCAAATAAAGGGTGTTTGGAGGATCCTCCCAGGAGGGGAGATGCATGTTGAAAGTAGACTATGGACTGAACATGATTGCCACTCAATGCCTCTTTTGAAAACCACAGCACCCAAAAGGAGAGAGAGAACAGAAGGGAATGCCCTGCCACAGAGGCAGGGTGGGATGGGAGGGATAGGGGTGGGAGGGATACTGGGATCCATGGTGGTGGGAAATGGGCACTGGTGGAGGGATGGGTATTTGATCATTGTATAATTGAAATCCAAGCACAAAAATTTGTAAGTCTACAACTGTACCTCATGGTGTTTCACTAAAAAAAAAAAAGAATTTTACTTTAGTTTGGGATTGTATTTTTTTATTTTAAAGGTTTTCTCATTCAGGATGGATGTCTGACTTCAAATAAAGCAATATTTGAGTAAAATAACCCTTTGTGGTGATATTTGCAAGGGAAGGCACTGACCCAGTGGTGCTCAGGGCTTAGTCCTGGCTCTGTGTTCAGGGATAACTCATGGCAGGGTTTGGGGGACCATATCAGATGTGGGGTGTTGAACCTGAGTGGGCCGCGGACGAGGCACAAACCTTACCCACTCTACTATCTCTCTGGCCCACTTTTAGAGGAATTTCACCCTTCTTCGTGATGAGTTTCTTCTGTCTCTGATGTTTTTTACAGGAAATGAAATGGTATCTAAAATGCCTAGCTGCCACATGCTGATTCCTACTGTGCTGTTCTGTGTTTTCTGTGTGCCAGGGTGGGCTCTCGGTGAACATGGTGAATGGGCCAAATACAGCAATTTTGACGTGACTACTCGAGTTCCTCTGATGTTCTACGTGCCCGGAAAAACAGCTCCACTTCCAGAGTCAGACCAGAAGCTTTTCCCTTATATCGACCCTTTTGATTCTGCCCCAGGATTGATGGAGACAGGTATAAAATCTGCTGGAGTGACATTGGTTGGCAGTAGTAGTTTTTTTTTAATTTATCTGGTAAGTACATGGTGAGATCACAGCCCTGGCTTACCCAGTCCATCTTCCTGCCTGGTACTAGCCTACCTTCCCACTGTTTCGCCTCTCTGTCTAGGAAATAATGGCTCTATGATCTCGAACATCTAGGAAGTAATAGAATTGAGCCATATGAAGCAAAAATTTAAAGATCTAAAACAGCCAGGATAATAGCCACAACAAGGGCACTTTGAACAGTATCAGTATGAAGTGTAGGACTTACATGCTTAGCGATGGCCCTGCCACAGTGACATGTCATCTCACACGTTAGAGTAGTGTACCTACTATGGAAAATGGCATGGGCTTCCTTCAAAAGCTAGATGTCGAGTTCCCATGACACAACAATCCCATACCTCTGTACCACACTTAAAAACAGATATTCAAACAAAAACTTTGTGAATTAATTTTAATAAGTAGCATTCCTCACAATTTTGTAATGGTAGAAGCATCCCAGGTGACTCTCAGAAGGTGGATGGAGAGTTAGAATGTGGTGTGGAATATTAAAAGGTAATGGTAAAGGCCCTCCCGTTGATCGTCGATTTGCTCGAGCGGGCCCAGTAACGTCTCCATTGGAGACTTTGTTGTTACTGTGCCTGGCATATCGAATATCCTCGGTAGCTTGCCGGGCTCTCCGAGAGGGGCGGAGGAATCGAACTCGGGTCGGCCATGTTGGCCACTTGTAAGGCGAACGCCCTACCCGCTGTGCTATCGCTCCAGCCCTGGTGTGGAATATTGGGGAATACTATTTATCTTTCAAAAGGAAGGAAGTTCGGGGCTGGAGTGATAGCACAGCAGGTAGGGTGTTTGCCTTGCACGCGGCCAACCCAGGTTCGATTCCCAGTATCCCATGTGGTCCTCCGAGCACTGCCAAGAGTAATTCCTGAGTACAGAGCCAGGAGGAATCCCTGAGCATCGCCGGGTGTGACCCAAAAAGCAAAAAAAAAAAAAAAGTAAGGAAGTCCTCAGTGACCTGCATGTAGACCAGTACAGCAGGTAGGGCATTCACCTTGCATGTGGCCAACCCAGTTTGATTCTCTGGCACCCCATATGGTCCCCTGGGATCCACCAGGAGTGACCCCACAGCCCAAAGCCAGTAATTAGCCTTGAACGTTGCCGGGAATGGACCAAAAAAAATTTAAAAAAACTGTAGTAAGGAAATTCTGACATAGCCTATAACATAATGCACCTTGAGGACACTATGCTGTGGAAAATTAGCCAGACACACAAAAAATAAATAAATTAGTCCACCTACACGAGGTACTTAGGGTTGTCAGCTTCATAGAGACAGAAAGTAGAATGGGGGGCGGGGCTCGGGTCAGAAGGAGGCAGAGATGGGAGTTGGTGCCGAATGGGAATGCAGACTCGGTTTTGCTAGAGGAAAATAGTTCTAGCAATGGATGGTGAGAGGAAGTTTGTACAACACCATTTATCAGCTTCATGCTACTGACCTTCGACTAAGCATGGTTTAGGTGGTAAATTTATTTTTTCTCTTTTTTTCAATCAAAGAACTGTGGATTACAAAGTTATCGATAGTTGAGTTTTAGGCAGGCAATAATTCAACACCAGTCCCACCACTAGTGTCAAATTCCCTCCACCAGTGTTCCCAGATCCCCTCCCCACCCCAGCCCTCCACCCCATCCGCACCTGTCAACTTGACGCGCATATTACAGAGTTTCAGTGGTTGCAGCTTAGATCTCATGATTTCAATGCGGTTGTATCTGTGTTTTGGAGATATGACTATACCACTCGCCCACATCTAGGTAAACTTCACGCTGTTTGTACTTTCCCACGATGGAAAAGAGAGAGCTAAAACACAGAGATCCACCAAGGAATAAGCTCAGGATTCTGAGACTACAGATATCCTGAGCCTCAATAGATTTTTGCCTAGTACTGTGGGCCTCTGTTGGTGATTCTGGCCTGAGCAGCTATGATACCTGGGCTTCCAAAATTCAAATCATCTCCCAAATTGCCAAGAGGTTGCGGGCACCTCCACTCTGCATCTTGGTGCTGGATGGGCTGCTGAGTTGTTGGTGTTCCTGGAATTCTTTTTTGCACCTTAAACTTTATTATTATATTTTTAAATTTTTTAATTGAATCACCGTGGGGTACACTTATAGACTTATAAACTTTCGTGCTTACGTTTCAGTCATATTGTGATGGAGCACCCATCCCTCCACCAGTGCCCATTCTCCACTACCAATGTTCCCAGTATCCCTCCCACCAGCCCCCCCCCCCCCCCCAGCCTGTTCCTTGAATTCTTGTGCTAAAAATCAGTGTGGAGATGACCTCCGGAGGCCAGATGGGCTGGCTGTGACCGGTTCTACATTATAACCCTTTCTTCTGCTCACTTCCTCTTTCAGGTCGGCGAACTGAGGACCTGGTGGAACTTGTCTCTCTCTTCCCCACGCTCGCGGGTCTCGCAGGACTACAGGTTCCCCCTCGCTGCCCCATTCCCTCATTTCATGTCGCGCTATGCAGAGAAGGCCAGACTCTGCTGGGTCATTTTCGGTCCCGTGACTTGGAAGAGGATCCCTCCCTGCGTGGGAATCCTCGAGAGTCCATCGCCTATAGCCAGTACCCCCGGCCTGCAGATTTTCCTCAGTGGAATTCTGACAAGCCCGACTTAAAAGATATCAAAGTCATGGGCTATTCCATACGCACAGTAGATTATCGTTATACTGTGTGGGTTAGCTTTGATCCCCATGACTTCCTGGCTAACTTCTCCGACGTCCATGCAGGGGAACTGTATTTTGTAGACTCTGACCCTCTGCAGGATCACAACATGTATAATGCCTCCCAAGGGAGAATACTGTACTGGTCCTGGACCCCTTAAACTCTGCTAACCCGTAGGGCATCCCTAATCCCCCACCCCTGCTGTGAGAAGGAGTTATGGCTGATGATTTTGTGATTATAGAATACTGGAACCAGTTTGGGGAGTAGGCAGACATGACATGCATCAACCATCTGTCCTAAAAGTATGTATAGCCAAGCCTCTGACTTAGTCTTTGTCAGTTTCTAGATGGTCGTTGGGCTGAATCATTCCCCCCTGCCTTCTTTCTACAGTAATGGCTTATTTATTGCACAAAATAAATAAGCTCACAAACTCAAGTGATCATGGCTTAATATTAATAAAGCACAACAGTATAGTCAGCAAATGCTTTATTTGTAGAATTTAGTGTATTTCAAAAAGTAACCAGGTATCTTAAGTTTTTGTGGCAAGTTCTGGTTTTTGTCTTTGTAATTTTATGTCTTGTGTACTCCATATAGTCAACAGGTTATATCAACATATAATCCAGTTTTTTTCCCTTAAAAGTGAAGTTACTAATTCTTAATGCCATGGCCTTAAAGTCTTAGCTTTAATTTTTATTTCGATGGTTCTGCATTTTTAAAGTTGAAAGATGTATCAAGTGGTAATGTGGAATTTTTACATCAAATAGTAAGTGATGCTCAGTGAACTGGAGACAGAAGATATGTGGGGAATGCAGTTAAAAATGTCCAGAGACTTTCTGTAACATATAATTGATTGACAAATAATAGGATCCTTAAAGGTGGAGGCACCGTTACTCTCAGTGGAAAGTATCTAAAGGTACAGCTATACCCTAAAGGCAGTCACTCATAACTATATCACTGTTCTCCTTCTCTAAGGGTTTGGTTGCAGACCAACATTCATTTATCCAGGAGGCAAAATATATTCAGCTTGGCATTACTACTAAAGGCATTAATTTTTTAAAAAATTCTAAATTACTTTAAAGATACAGAAACTTATCAGTCCTAAAGTGTAGTTCTAAATATTATGTCATCTTATTTTAAAGGGATAGACAAAATCATAACTCATTTACAACATGTTGAAACTGATAGATGATCAATAGTCATCAGACGAGGCAATGTTTTTTCTAAGTAGACATCTAATATATTCTTGCATCAGTAGGCGGTTTATTCTCTTCAGTGCTGCTTAAGTGTTTAAAAGTAAATGTTTGTGAAAACAAAATATGGCAAATTATATTCAGTGGATTAGGTTGTAACCCCAAAAGGCAAGATATTATGTCGAAAGATTGTTTCAAATTGGCAAAGTCTCTGTCTAAAACATATATTTATTTTTTACTAATCAGCCCAAAATGGAGGTGTGTATGGTGGCACAAGGACCATAAGCAGTAAAGGGACCGTATTTTTGCAAGAAGGAGTTCTATCCCTCTTTCCCATCCATGAAACCGTTCATTCTTCTGCATGTCTCGGCTGTTTCACTGTTTCCCGGAGCACTTTTCTGTGTCCTTCCTGCACTATGTTGCTACTCCGACATTCTGGATGACACTGTGAATATCTCGTGGCAGACTGTCAGTATAACTCATTTTCTCTTCTCCAGTTAGAAGGCGGGCATTCATTTCACATTCATCCATTGAACCGCTGTGCTGGGTCCAATGTGTGTATGTCACTATTTTGGAGAGGGGGTGTTTTAAAATATGTCTGGAGACCCAGTTTAGTTTGACACTCTTCTACTTCTGCGCTTGTTGCGGTGTGCTTTCCATGGTGCTAACTTAACGGATGCAAGTGACTGAAGCCACATCTGTCCGGGCTACGCGCGCCTTGTCTGGACAGAAGGTGCTGTTTGCTTCTCTTCTCTCAGTGAGGGCAGAGCTGCAGAACACTGGAGCTCTCCTCGGCTTGCCCTTTTTCCTTGACATTCAGCAGCACGGGCTGCATGGCATGCGGAGTGGTGTGTGTGCTCTTCTAAGTCCTCTCGCATGTCCTGGCGGTGCTCTGTGTTCTTGACACGCGCCCCAGTGTCGTGCTGCTTTTGTTTATCTCTGACACACGTTGGAGTGAGCAGCTTCTCTCGGTCTTCCACAGAGCCCAGCTGACCACATCTCTCCTCTGCACGAGCTTTAGCAAAGCCAGGCTTTCTCTGCCGCCTTGCAGAAGCTGCTCTACTGCATGCATTTCGTTACTGACTGCTTGCTTTCTGGAAAGGCCCATTTTACCAAGCAAGGATTCTTTGATACGGTATAGTTGAAACCAGACACAGTCACCCCAGATGCTCGCAGTAGCGTTCACTGATGGAGCAGTGGAACCACTGGAGAGGGGCTTGTGCAAAGCTAACGTCTGTGCCGGGTCATGCCCACAAAGGTTCAGCAAAAGTTCAGAGTTAGCGGGTTTGAGAAGGCAGTCGTGAGATTTCGTGTTTCTTTTTTTTTTTTTAAATGTTCTTTTCTCTTATTATTCATCGAATCACTGTGAGATGTGCAGTGACAGAATCGTTCATGATTGGGTTTCAGTTATACAGTGTTCAGATTTTGCATTTCTTACCACACTGAGGAGCAGTGCACTTGGGTCTGTGCAGTGTGGTAGGGCCGCCACTGGCACAGTAGCCCTCCGAATTGGAATTCAGGTCAGGGGTGGAGTTCTGTGGCGGAGAGCATCCGCCACATGCCCGAGGAGCCGCGTTTGACCCGTGGCACCACAAAGCAATAACCGTCAGTTAGTATGAAACAAGTGTTGCAAAAGCAGTCTCAGCTCCACTTCCCAGGTTTCAGATGTTCATCAGTCTTCCCAGTAGCCGCGGCCACCCTTTTGGACAGCGCACATTGAGAACCTTTCCCTGGCAGAAAGCTTGATTGAGCAGCGCTATCCTGGATGAGCTGAGTGCGGGTTGTTCCATCTGGCTGTTGGTCCGTCTCTGCCACGGGTTGCTTCTGTCTGTTGCTGCGAGGAGTGTGCTGTGTTGAGGAGCAGACTAAGGGAATCGCTCTCGCCTCTTCCCTTCCACTCATCACCATGGTCCTTTCTCCGCTCTCCCAAGTAGATGACCGTCCTACCATTTTCCTCCCCCGTTTCCTAAGAATCCATGTGTCTTCCTGAAAATCCACTTAAATCCCGCCCTTGAATAACACCGATAGTGCCTACTACTGGGTCTGGTCTACACAGACCTTGCTGAGCAGTCAGAGTCTTCCCTGACTCCACAAAACCCTTTCCCTCGGCTGACCAGTTAACTCTGGTCCCTCCCTTCCCTGGCCAGTCCACCCTCCCGCCCCCCCATAGGTTGTCCCTTCCCCGCTCTTAACATCATTCATGGTCATTTTTCATACCCACACCCCACGGGCAAGAGGCTGAGGGCTGGAGACTTCCTAAACTTTACGCCGAGATGAAACAAATAGCACTTGTAGTCACCTGAGTTTAGTACAGATAATTTTGTTTTGGGGTGCCCAGATAGGTAGTACAGTGGGAAGGGCACTTGCTTTGCATGTGACAGACCAAGGTTTGATCCCTGGCACCCCATATAGTCCCCTGAGCACCTCCAGGAGTGGTCTCTGAGCGCAGAGCCAGCAGTAAGCTTGAGCCCTGCCAGGTATGACCTCCTCCAACCCCCCACCACACACACAAAAAGAAGTTGAAAATGTAGTGAAAGTGAGAAAATTCGATCCATATTTTACCCTAATTACTTAATGTCTTGTCTTTTGGGGGATGTGAATGTTTTTTGTTACTATGATCATGCTGTATGCCTTGTCATGTGATGTTAGGTTCTTTTTATATAGTTCTGGAGTGTTACATGTGGTTATACTGACTTCTGGGAGTACTTCATATTGCTGGTAATATGTTCTATGTGTTACTTTCTAATTTCGCCTTCTTTTAGTCATTGGAAATTTGGGTTAGCTACAAAGTATTGTAAATAATGCTGTGATAGACAACATTATGAATGTAATTTTTTCTGTATTTCATACTGTTCCATTAAGGTAATATTTCAATGCTACATTCGCAAATAGCCTTTCCACTCTGTGCTCTCTCCACTCTGGTGCTGCCTTAGGGTAGTAAAAGTGAAATGAAAACAGGGTACAAGTGAAAATGATACAATAACAAAAGGAAAACAGAAACAATATACCACTTACAATAATAGGTGGAAGTTGTATCCTATTTGAGCCTCTAATTCTTTATTAGTAAAATCCTTTGTTGTTCTCTCTGTATGATTTTTGGGCATTTATATTTCTAGTTGTGTGAATTTGCCTTTACATTTGATGGGTTTCATTTATTAAAGTGATCAATTTCCTCTTTCCCTATGTGATATTTCCCTCTTTTCCTGTTAAACATGGAGCTCCTTTCCCAACCTTGAGATTAAATAAATTTTCATTTTTTCCCTTTGCTTTCCTGTGGTGTGGTTTTATTCTTACTCTTTCTTTCCACCCAGTTGTCAGACTGTTTTGGAAAATGATGAGAAAAGGAAAAGCCCATCTCCAGGATCTAGCCACTATTGGTATGTGTGTTTCTTTCTGCTCTCCTGCCTCCCTCCACATAACACAGATAAAGATATTTTTATCTTTATGCAGCTGAAATCTACCACATATATCTTGTGTTCTGATAGAAAATAAAGGTAAAGGTAAAAGGCCCTCCCGTTGATCATCGATTTGCTCGAGCGGGCCCAGTAACGTCTCCATTGGAGACTTTGTTGTTACTGTGTCTGGCATATCAAATACTTCACGGGGAGCTTGCCAGGCTCTGCCGTGCAGGCGAGATACTCTCGGTAGCTTGCCGGGCTCTCCGAGAGGGGCGGAGGAATCGAACTCGGGTCGGCCATGTTGGCTACGTGCAAGGCAAACGCCCTACCGCTGTGCTATCGCTCAAAATAATAGTTCGTTTTGTTACTTCCCAGGAACATTCCAAAACTTCCCTGTCTACCTGCCTGCCTTTTTTTTTTTTTGCTTAGGGACCACAACTGGTGGTGCGTAGGGCTTACTTCTGGCTCAGCCCTCAGGGATTATTCCTGCTGGGTTCAGGGGACCATATGGAGTGCTGGAGGTTGAACTTGGGTCGGCTATGTGCAAGGCAAGTGCCTACCCATCGAACTATCACTCCAGCCCCATGTATGACCCATTGTGGTTGATCCCTGCTGTCAGTCTGATCTCCATTTGAATGCACTTGGTGCCCCCTTGGCTTGCCTAGCCATCTCTCTTCTGCATATAAAAATTTGAAAATAACAGGGCGGTCATTAATCGGTGTCATCAGATGGTCCAGACTATGACTATTATGGGTTAGAGCCCTCATTGCACTCAGGACTGGCCTTCCATGGTGACCTTGTCCATGTACCTACTTGGTAGATACTTGTTGCTTCTCAATTGTCTGCTGAAATACAGGAAATTGGATGTGGGCACCCCCCCCCCCCCCGCGAGGGCTCATAGTTGTGTGTGTGTGTGTGTGTGTGTGTGTGTGTGTGTACACACATGTGCAGATTTCCAGTGGCAAACCTATGCCCTGCCCAAAAATAGTACCAAACACCAAAAGATGTCCTTGTCTGACTGGAATTTGGCCAAGGGCTTAAGGCAAGTGCCTGATTGGAGAAAACAAACTGGGCTTGGGATAACTCTATGAAAGTTTCTAGGAGACCTGCTGTAGGGGTCCACGCAGGACAGCAGGGGGCAGCAGAGTCCCCCTGTCAGCAGGAAACAAGGCTTAGGTCTAGTAGAGTGGTCTCTAGCCACTGGTCACAGGTATAGGAAGGTTGAGCGATGCTGCCCTTCTGCTATTCTGTACGGACGACAGGTGCCGGCCTGCAGGTGTCAAGTTGCTGATGGACAGTGATCTGGCATATTTGGCACCTGCTAAGAATCAAGAGTTAGGATGTAGACAGAAGAGTAAAGGCCCAGGTTAACTGTTTTGCCTTTTTCATGTCTGTAAAAGTCAGAGGCTGTGATTCATGCAGGTAAGACCGTTTGGAGCAGGGCCGAGAGTGACATTTACAAACCCTTGCCTGAATTTATGGTCGTTTTTGCTATTTTTTTGAAAGAACCTTTTGCAGGTGATTTATATTCAAAACTCATTATTTACTTAACAGGTTTTATGAATCCATCTCTTCCACACTATTGAGAAAGGGAGCCTTGTGTTTGGGTTAAGTGCGGCATGAGCTATTGTATGAATAAATCATATGACACTTGCCATTATTGTGTATGCAATTCTTGCTGCTACTTCAGGGTGGCTCGATGCTGCCTTAAAATAAATGAAGCCATTTAATAGAACTGGATCCCCTGGTCATGGTTTACCTCCTTCAAGGGCCCAGCCTGTTCCCACCCTTGTGAGGAGTGAGCCAGAGTTGGCTGGGATCTTCGAAGGAGTTGTGTTCTCGACGCCAGGTCTGAGTTGCACTTGAGCACAGAAGATCCTCTCTGGACAGCGCTAGTTCTCTCAGTTTCCCTTTCAGTTGGAGAATTTCCAAGAAAAAAAGTGCGGCTGGCGCAATAGCACAGCGGGTAGGGCATTTGCCTTGCATGTGGCCAACCCGGGGTTCGATTCCCAGCATCCCATATGGTCCCCCGAGTACCGTCAGGAGTAGTAATTCCCGAGTGCATGAGCCAGGAGTAACCCCTGAGCATCGCAGGGTGTGACCCAAGAAGAAAAAAAAAACTAAGGAAATAAGTGTGCTTCTGTTGAGGTGCCTTGACTTCCAAATGCCTCATGCCTCGATAAGCGCTTGCTAACTTTTCCCACCTTTTATTCATTGTCCATGACTTGGAATGCAGATTTGGGAACTTGTTAGCAGGCAGGGGAGCGAGCTATTCCTATAGCCTTCCACCAAAGAATAATGTCTCTCATCAGGGAGTTTGTCCTCTTCTACCGAGCATGCAGCTTCAGGAAGATGATGGAAGGATACACTTGGAGTGGTAAGGGAGGGAGGGTCATCTGTTTTCCCAGCCAGATCAGTCGAATCAAGACTAGTGATCCAATGGAATGGCAAATGTCACAGCCTGATCGCCTTCACATCCTGAATGTGATTTGGAAGGCCTGGCATAGCTTTTCAAATGGATCTGGACAGACTGACAGAAGCCTGTGACTTGAAGCAGGAGAGGTGGGTCTGATATACTTTATTGCTCGTTTGCTCATAGACGGGATGTCCTGTGGTACACACTTTTTTATTAGTGAAACACCATGAGGTACAGTGATACACACTTTTTAAGGTCTCAGGTCCTTAGGTCTAGTTCCTTAGGTTCTCAGATCCAGCTGCCTCAGGTCCAACCCCCAGCACTGCATATGGTCTCCGGGGCACCTCTGGTTGTAGCACCCAAACCAAACCCAAAAAGGCAAAAATGTACTGTGACATCATTTTCTCTCCAGTCATGGCCACCTCACTGTCATCAGAGGCAAGTGTGGTCACTGATTTCTTATGAATGGATGATGTTGGAGAAAGATGAATGTAGGTCTAAGTGTGCCCCAGAACCAAGGCGCCGGAGGGGGAGGGGATCCAAGGGACAGAGTCACACATGTAAGTCCAGGGGGCAGTAGCTCAGTCTGACACTCAGTGGATCCCACCTGTCAGGTAATAAAAGGCCATCCTGGAGGAGGCAGCCAGCAGCTCTGCATATGCGTCCCATCAGTCAGGACTTGGGCCTGGAGCCATCTTGGAAAGGTGGACATACAGGAGGCCCAACATGTCCTGAGAGGATTAGTTGAAGGAGGAACACCAGGTTGGGAAAGAAAGATACGGGAGCAGGTAGAGGTTGGGGGAAGGGGTGGATGCTGCCTTGAAATCCCCACAGAGCCATCAGGGTTGAGAGAGATTGGACAAGCTCTCCTAGGGCCCCAAGAGAAGACCCAGCCGTGGACACAGCAGGGAGAAAGATCGGGGAGGTTGAACTTCCTAAGAGTAACTTTGGGATGGATGCAAGGGCTTGCTCCAAGGTGTGGCAACATCTCTGTCACCCAAGACTCTTAGCATTGCCTAGGCTAGAGGCCCTCACAGGGATGATTCTTCCTTTGGTGCATTTGGTCTGCAGTCGTTTGGGGGTGTCACACTTGGGAAGGGGTTGCTCCCGCCCAGACTGATAGGAGCATACAACCTCACAACAGAGAGATGGGATCCCAAGTGGGTATTGTAGCCTGCACAAAGTGCTGTGCCGTATAAGGTGAGTGGGATTTTGCCTATACTATTGACAATATCTTCATTTTGTTTCTAGCCCTTTCTTTTGTCATGATTGTTGCTATGTCCAGGGATCTGACACTTGTGTGCACTCTGCTGAATGTCACACTTGGTGCAGTTCTGGAGATCACAATGGAAGAGCTGGTGATTATACATGCACAGGCAAAGCAGGTGCTCTACATTGAGACACATCTTTAAACTCCCTTGAAAAGAGTTTTCTAGTGTCTGGGGAGAAGGTACTTGTCTTGCGTGCAGCATACCCTGGTTCAGTTTCAATCCCTGGCACTGTGATGGTCTCCCGAGCACTGTCAGGAGTAATCCCTAAACACAGAGCCAGGAATAGTGTCTGAGCATCACCAAGTATGGCCTAACCCCACCTGCCACATTCTAAATACCTTTCAAGAAGACAAGGAGCTTTCAGGTGAAGATGAAAATTTTGAAAACAAGAGAACACATTTCTATGATGGTAGTTAATTGTCTCCTATCTTCTGATTGGGAAAAACTCTGTGAAAGAGAAGTTATATAGGCAATTTCTTTAAATAAATTATGTGGGACTCCTGCCCTACTGCTATGGATATAGATACTCACAAAAATATGAAAAAAAAAAACATAGCAAAGCAAAGATCACAGTTAACTTGGCCCAAGCTACCCTGTGTAACAGGGAGATACTTGAATCCTGTCCCACATCAATTTGTTTTTACAACCTGTGGTACAATTTCTCAGGGCTTCCCTACTTTCAGTTTTCTGAGACATACCATGCCATTTCCAAGTAAGCATGTGTCGCTGTTGACCAAAGGACACAGAGAGAAGCTGCCGAGTTTCATTCTCCCGAGAGGGCCACTGAATGTGAGTATTTTGACCAAGGCTAATGCAAGACCATTGCTTAACTAGGGCCAAGGTAATGTGTGCCTCTGGAAATCCGAAGGGGCCCAGAGTAGAGAATCTGCCCAGTGGAGCAGGGAGCAAGGCTGAGAGCAGTCTCGGAGCTCCCTGGCACTGCTCATGCAGAGTCATCCTGGTGACACTGCAGTCGGGTTCTCTAGATCATAAGTGCAAACTCTGGCTCTCCACCACCATATGTGGGTACGCTGCAACTGGCCTGCGACCTCTGGTAAGCACAAGAGTGGGCACACAGCCAAGTATGTGACCCCTGGTCATTATCATGCCAGCCACAAAGGGAAAGGGGGAAAACAAAAACTAGAGAAAGAAAGTGCTGTCAAACAGGCCTCCAAG